GGCGACACTGTGACCGTCGTTTAAACGTAATATTGAGGCACCTACGGTCCGTATCGTTGCCGTAGGATGCAAAATGGTTGCGAAATGTGTTTCTTTACGACTTCTCATCGAAGTGGGTGGTGACGTTCTCCGTCGACCCCCTTATGGGGGTTGCTAATACGCAGACAATATTTATGCATTTTTTTTGGTATGCTTATCGCTGTAAACGTTATCGTGTCGAACACAGAATTTTTTCCCAAAAATATACTCTGGTCGGACAGTATTAACACTTAAACCCGCGTAAAAGGGTTATTTTTTAAAAAAGTTTTATTGTTCGCTATAATAGTGATAATATGTTTGCTTGCGTACCATGTGACCATTGTGGTGGTCATTTTTTACCTTCTTTGTGCGATTGGCGTGCGAATTATTCGCAGATTGGATTTGATTGGGCGCCCCCAATTTGGGATTGGATTTGATTGGGCCAGATTGGGCGACACTGTGACCGTCGTTTAAACGTAATATTGAGGCACCCACGGTCCGTATCGTTGCCGTAGGATGCAAAATGGTTGCGTAATGTGTTTCTTTACGACTTCTCATCGAAGTGGGTGGTTACGTTCTCCGTCGACCTCCTTATGGGGGTTGCTAATACGCAGAAAATATTTATGCCATTTTTTTGAGTATAGTTATCGTCATAAATCCTATCGTGTCGAACACAGAATTTTTTCCCAAAAATATACTCCTGTCGGATAATATTAACACTTAAACCCGCGTAAAAGGGTTGTTTATTAAAAACAAATTATTTTTCGCTATAATAGTGATAATATGTTTGCTTGCGTACCACGTGACCCTTGTGGTGGTCATTTTTTACCTGCTTTGTGCGATTGGCGAGCGAATTATTCGCAGATTGGGCGAGATTGGGCGACACTGTGAACGTCGTTCAAACGTAATATTGAGGCACGTGCGGTCCGTATCGTTGCCGTAGGATGCAAAATGGTTGCGTAATGTGTTTCTTTACGACTTCTCATCGAAGTGGGTGGTTACGTTCTCCGTCGACACCCTTATGGGGGTTGCTAATACGCAGACAATATTTATGCATATTTTTTGGTATGCTTATCGATGTAAACGTTATCGTGTCGAACACAGAATTTTTGCCCAAAAATGTACTCCGGTCGGATAGTATTAACACTTAAACCCGCGTAAAAGGGTTGTTTTTTAAAAAAGGTTTATTGTTCGCTATAATGGTGATAATATGTTTGCTTGCGTACCACGTGACCATTGTGATGGTCATTTTTTACCTTCTTTGTGCGATTGGCGTGCGAATTATTCGCAGATTGGATTTGATTGGGCGCCCCCAATTTGGGATTGGATTTGATTGGGCCAGATTGGGCGACACTGTGACCGTCGTTTAAACGTGAAATTGAGGCACCTACGGTCCGTATCGTTGCCGTAGGATGCAAAATGGTTGCGTAATGTGTTTCTTTACGACTTCTCATCGAAGTGGGTGGTTACGTTCCCCGTCGACCCCCCTATGGGGGTTGCTAATACGCAGAACATATTTATGCAATTTTTTTGAATATGCATATAGATGTATATTCTTGTGATCGATTCAGAATTCTTTCGAGCCTTGTTCTCGGGTAATAAAATGTTAACAACTTATTCTATTCGTGAAGGGGGTGCTTTTTTCAAATAATTGTATTTTTCGTTATAATCGTTTCAATAAGCGTTTTATTTCCATAATAAATAATTATCTTTTACGGCATTTTATTGTAAATGATAACTCAAAGCCATTTTGGGAATCTAAACGAAAGCAACAAAATTATTTATATTAGGGACATCAATGTTAGTGATAAAATAAAATAAAACGTTCCATTTGCACGTTCTAGCACACTCCAAACCTAAATTGTATTTATTACATCACATTTTGCTTTTTAGATGTTTTTATTGGTAATACACAATTATTTCCAATTTTCACAATCAAATCCAATCAAATCCAATCAAAGCCCTTAATTGTGTTTGCCCAATCAAATCCAATATAAGTTCAAATTGAATCCCAATTAACCCAATCAAACACAATCTGGTCCAATCTAACTTAGATTGGGTTATATTGGATTTGATTGGGCATTTTTAACAGGGAATGTAAGACACTCAGTTCCTTATAATTTTTTAACTTCTGTAAGAGTGCATACTATAAATTTCTATAAAATCCATCTCATTATCATTAACCGCTGTAAAAGTTCTTCTTGTGTGAGTTTTGGTGTTGGGAATTTTGATTATTATTAAAGTCGACTTTTTCTTCAAAATTATTTTCTTTAGCTTATAAAGTTCATTCCGACGACAAGTCCCAGAAATGACGAACAAAAACAACCTAGAATTTCAACGTTTAAAGTAAACTATTTAAACTATAACTAACTGATTACCTTTATCACAGAAATTGATCAGCCGGTATAATATAACTTGATTTATTGACAAAGTTTTCGACTGTTTTTATTTATAGGTACTTATCAAATGGTTCCTTGCTTAAAAAATCCAGTTGATTTAGCATATGTGGAAATATCGGTGCTTTACTTTACGAAGTGTTGTTTGCAACATACTATAGACAGACGAAAGGCTTCTGGCCTTCATAATTTTTAATTTTTCATTGAAAAAGTTCATATCGAAAGTATCATTGATTTTGTAGTGATTTGCAAAAGATATGTGATCTTGCGAAATAATAATATTAATAATAATAATAATATATGCTTGTTTGTCAATTATAGGAATAATAAATTTACAACATATCCTGTTGGTAAAAACACCTTCGCTGATATGCTCAAGAAAATAGCCTCCTTTCTTACGCTCCGTGACCAAACAACCTACACTGGTCATTGTTTTCACCGATCAACTGCTTCATTGTTACTTGACATTGGTATGGATATTAGCGTTCTGAAAAGGCATGGGACTGGATATACATGTGCTACAATTTGGACCGGTAGTTTAATAATAATTACTTATTTCTTTAAATACTAGTGGTTCAAATGATTATTATAATATAAATATTAATGTAAATAAATAGTTCTCCTTGTTCATATGAGTATTTTTTGAAGGCGTTCAAAAAATATTGTGATATTTTATGGCATTTTACAAATGCAAAGGTAAATAAAAACATTCATGTTTTATTTAATCTGACATAGAACGCGTTATTGTAGGAGGAAATATTTTCATGTGGTAGCAACTAACCTAAGTTGGATATTCATTTACATATGAATGAATCAAATGTATCGCACAAACAAAGCCCGCACCAGAACAAAGACTATTAAAATGCTATCAAAATGTTACGCCAAACTTGAGCAGATCGCACTTACCGAATTCATTTTAAGAATATTATTTTTGTTAAGAAATCATGCTCAACTAGTCAAAATGATTAACATGAATGTTTATATTTATTTCATCACTTCTATATTGTGTCAACATTTTTAAATCGCGGTGACCAAATTAAAGACGTTTCGATGTGGAGGGTAATTTATAATTTCACTAATAAATTGAACGTCAGTGACGTTGTATCGCGAAAATTATGTATAAAATATACAAATTAATGTTTCCATTTTTTGTTGGCAGCTGTGAAAAATCAATAGATACATTCTATTATAAACTTAATTCCTTTCTACAGAAAATTATGATGATTAATTGTTATAGATTACATTTTAGGAAACATAACAACTACTTACATAGTTTTGCTCACACAAGTTGTTTTTTTAAGAGAGCGTGCGAAAACTATAAAAATTAATTTGTTGCTGAGTTGTTAATTGTTTGATTTTATAACGAATGATTTATTATATTAATATAATGCTGCAGGTGGGAAAAATAAGCGTGGATGTTGTAGGAGCGCATACCTACTTGGTTTCAGGCAGTTAATCTTCACGGTGAATTATAGAAACGCAATCTAGTCGTAACACTCTTACAAAAGATGCTCATGAAATTACTAGATCAAGGTCTACATTTGTTTTATCGCTTTAGGTTGTTGTACGAGCATTACTTTCCTTACGTGGGATCAGATATCTGCATAATTTCAGATGAGTAATAACACCACCTTTGTTGCCTAACTATAACTAAAACTGTCAGTTAACTATGATTTGTTGCATTTTAAAATCGTTAAATCTTTCATCTCTAGGTTTCGTTCTTCCCAAGACATTTAGAAAAAATTAATTGTTACTCTGCTACGATTTCCAAATATGTTTATGCCGGCAAGAACTAAAGAGAATACAATTTTTAGGATTTATCAAGATTTATCAAGATTTGAATCGGTTACTTTACCTATTAATAAAGTAAAACGGGATAAGTTTGCCATGTAAGCAACGTGCGAGTATGGAAAATTTTCCCATGAGTAATCAGCAGTCACTATCTAACCATAGTTCATAGTTTTTAAATTGTCATAAAGCAATAGGACGCTGATGGACAAATATTTATTAACAATTTACTATTAAGTAAAACATAACGCAACTCGTGAACAATAAATCGCATTATTAAAAAAGATTTAAAATTAACGAATTTTTCTTAGTCAGAGGGTGCGGCTGAATGTATTTATCGAGGAAGCTTTCTAATACTTTTAAAACCCATAACCCCATATTATCACCTATAAACTTCATTAAATAATGCCCGTTACGTTTATTATTAATAAAATCCTTTCAAATCTGGTAATAAACTAGACACATTTTTATACTTCAGTAATGGCGCATTGGGATGCATTACTTACACGTGTTAAGATGTTCTATTTGTAGTACTACAAGACTACTTTTTTGGAATTCATGACATCGTGTTTTCCATAATATTTGATAATTTGCGGTTTAAATGTATGTGGTTATGTGTAAGGAAAACAAAAGTGGCTGTCAAGTGAGCTATATTATTATTGTATATTTAAATGCAAGTATACACAGTATACAATAAATAAATAAATAAATAAACAAACATGCAACTTAACATAAGTTTGAAGTCAAAAGTAATTACCTATTATACAATTATATAAATAAATAATTTTTGGCAAGGGATATGGCAGCATAGTATATATAAGTTTACAGTACCTATTAAATTACTTTGAAAATAAATTATTTGTTCACAATTTCTCTAACCCAAGGAATGTATTCGGATATTCGAGTGTATAATCCTGGCAGAAACGGTCTAGCACAACCAATCCCAGTGGATACAATTCCCACAACCATCATTTGGTCAACTTTTCCAGTGGCAATCATAAGAGGGCCGCCACTATCAGCCTGCCAAAAACAGAAAATACTGCCACACAATCTGATCTGATGAGACTAACTTACCCAACAAGAGTCGACACCACCTTGCTCATGACCAGCACAAATTTGTGTGTCCTGAATTTTGGTTTTCTTTCCTTGGGACTTGTACCACTGTCTGCACTTTTCAGTACCGATGACATTTACGTGTGCTTTTTGAAGAACATTGGCACGTTTACCCTTCGAACTATCTTCATGTGTCCAACCCCAACCGGCGACAACAGCAGGAAGATCGTCTATTGGTGTGTAATCGTCTTCTGATGAAGAAGCTACTAGACAAGCAGGAGAGACAAATTCGGACCACACAAGTCTGTTGTCCATTTCCAAAATGGCAATATCATTTTTAACGTTCCCACAGGTGTACTCTGGATGTACAGTTACAGCTTTCAGGGTAACCTCATAAGCGTCGCTGGATTTATTTGTTAAGTCGTGCTGAGCAATCGTTACTTTTATGTGATTTGGTTTAAGAGTGTCGGTACCAATTCCGCTGAAACATACAGTACATTATATAATATATTAATTAATAATAATATGTAATTATAATTTTTCAGATTACTTACGTGCACAAACAGTGCCCCGCAGTAAGAATAAATCTATTACTAATAACGGTTCCTCCGCAGAAATGTCCACCTCTTCTTGTTATCGACACTAACCAAGGAAATTCTCCTCTATCTGCAGTATCACCACCAACAATTTTCCCTTCTCTTCCTTTAGATTTATGACCACAATTAATATCCGCAACTATAAATGACAACAAATGATGTTATGTTTTATTCTGCTTTGGAAAAGATTATGTATGGACCTTCACACAGTTTTAACTAGAAAACCAGGGCAAATATTATAAAATACTCATACTTACAGTTATTAAATGCGTTTATCCCACATATTAACATAATTATCAGCGAGCACTCAATTTGCATTTTGAATTGCGTCGAAAAGTCAAAATTACAAATTTTTTAATAAACACAACACAAATTTGTCACTACAGATTAGGGTCTTTGATTTATTAGTATTATTTTTATGATGATTTAAATGTTTTATTTGAATGTAGATACAAGTTGTTATTTAAGTACTTAATTGACTTATGATAAATGTTGGCTAAAACGTTTTTTATATATGAGGTGTGTGTATGTTATTAGCTAGTAGGGATTCTCCCCCTCCTGAGGTGGTGAACTTCAAGGGTAGCTCTCATTAAAATTCAATGGCAGTACTGATAACCTTGTCTAGCTTTGAAGGCTGCCATTGTTTTCAAACAGATAATAAAAGGTAAATAATGAAATGCAGTGTAGGTGTGTGTGTCAAAATGCAAGGTTTGTCGAATGTCGGCGGCGTCATTTTGTACCGTCTGTAGATAATTGCAGTGTAATTTAACAGGAAACAATTAGTTTGTCGGTTAGTTCAATGAATGAATTGCGCCATCATGTAATATACCACCTACCTTTATACGGTGCTACGAACTTGGCTCATATTACTTCATGGCTTTTATAAAGTAAGGTCTGTTGCTTATTGCCGATAATAATTTTTGATAAAGGACGTGACATATTTTCCTTTTTCCGTCCTATACGGAAAACTATTCTATTATTACATCCGCAAAACGATAAACCTTTGCTAAGGTTTTACATACAAAATCGAGAAGACGAAAGATTCAGTTGACTTTAAAGTGACTGAAGATTTTATACTCAAGAAGATATGAAGCTGTGGACTGGGCAGAGTAAAAGGATAGTAGGACGAAAGGAGGGATAGAAGAATGAAGTATTAACTGAGAGAATAATATCATACAATTATACAGTGGGAGCAGTATGTGGAGAGCAGAAGTGCATCACTTCTGGAGGGAAAAAACATATGAAGATATAACCTAGAACGCTAGAGATACACGAATATTTGTATGTTGTCTGTAGAACATAATTCTGAAAGGGAGGCAATACGGATTTTAGAACATTTGAACTTTCGTTAACTGTCGATAGTTTTAATAAGCGGTTAAAAACATTCCAGTTTTATACTAATTAAAATTCCATATGTGTGTGCAGGTTTTCTGGTTAAAATTTTAAGTCTATGGTTGGACAAGTCACCAAACCGAATAAGAAGGTACATATTTAATTAAATTCTGAACAACAGTAAATGTGAACATTCACACTGAAGTCTGATGTCGGATCTACGTGCCCCAAGACAAAATATTGCCTGAATAAAGCGTAAATGACGTTGTACACACCAGTAGCAGCCAAAATTTAGTTCCAGAGACGTACTTTTAAAATTTCATTAATAAACACTTAAAACAAAACATAATGCAAAGGGCGTAGGGACATATGTACATATTACAAAAAAAGAATGTGTTCATCAGTAGCTCCTCATAAACATGTTACAAAATTTTAGTAGTTATAAAAACGAGCTTCTGAAGAATGAGAAGTGCAAAATGAGGCTCAGACAAGTTCTGTTAACGGCAGAATGCAGAAGTATGCTAAAAAAGAGAATCAGAACTGAGGTAAAAAGAATACGATACAGCATAGGAGATTTAAATAACTTGGAAATAGCATGAAGGTATGTAGCGAAACTAGGAAAATCAGGACGTACATAGTGAGGATCAATGGAGTTGGATACTTACTGTAAAAAAAACGGAGAAACGTGCTTTAATGAAGACTATAAAACTTACAGAAAATAAGAGGAACATAAGGAAGCAACACTAACGAACCATAGCGAAAAAATAACCCATAAATATAGAGAAATAAGAAAATAACTGAAAAAATATTCCGGGCAAAGAAAAGACAATACAAGGAACACAAGACACACAGAACAAATTCCTAAAGAACTTGATCAAAACAGACCAAGGAGAATTGATACGTGAACCTATAAAAATCATTCAAAGATGGTTTGGAATACTTTAGAGAAATATTTTCGAGCAAAATTGAAGATAAATGGAAAACCAAGCTAATAAAAAAGATGGAGAGATGATAGTACCTCCAAGTAAAAATTAATAAAAATTGTAATTAAAAGAATGAAGAATGATTTTAGAACCAAAATATCAGATCTTTTCAATATTGGAAATACAGACCACTTGTTACGAATTCAAAGCTACAAGTCTACAATAGAATAGATAAAATTATTATCATTAAATAATTTAAAAAAGTCTTAAATCCGAAGAGTTTCAAGTAGACACAGGGAGATCCTCTCTTTACGGTGCTTTTTGATCTAATACTGGAAGTGGTAAGTTATAAGAAATATCAGTATAAAACATACAGTACTATTTTCAATAATGAACATCTGCTATCAGTATTTGCGGGCGACCTAGCAATACTTAATAGCAACATCAAAAACGGAACTACAAATTATTGCATCGAAAGTAGAAAAGAAAGCTGGAAAAGAAAGCCAACTACGAGTAATATATTAAACAGGAAATGAGTAGAAATTCGAAAGAGTTAAAAATTTATGTACGTACCTAAATTTTTAGGGTAATAATAGAGGACGATGGAAATGGATTCAAAAATCTGATCCCATTCTACTGAAGCCAACATATCTACTTATCAAGAAAAACAAAATGAGAATATACTAGACAATTATTAGACTTACAATAACTTACGTACGCGAGATTTGGAAGGTGGAAAATTTGTCTGAAGAAATCAGAGGAAGCAATTTTAGAGAGGTGGTAAACGAAAGTACTAAGAGGCATACATGGAGAACTAAAATCTGATGAGGGATATATGGATAAGAAGAATAAACAGCGGAAATAAAAACTTTATACAAGGAACTAAGCATAACCACGTTCTCTAAACTACAGAGACTGAGATGGTTAGGGCAGATAGAGAAGATGAGTAGAGAAAGAAATGTCTGGGACATGATGGATTTTAAGACTGCGTCGTTTGCCTCATCTTCTCTATACGTTAGGCAATGACGTGCACAATTGTAGAAAGCTTAGGGCACTTTGTCTCGAGATGCAATCGATTGTCTTATTTCCAGCATGCCTCGGAGGGTTGCCAAGTACATTAGAGTGTGCAGGGATGCAACATATATGATTAATTTTTTTGTAAATAATTACTGTTAGTTTTTGTTCCAAAACTTAATCAATTGTTTGATTTTATGCCTTACTTATTTCTATAAAATTTCAGCATTCTACTCCTTCAAAGTGTTACGTTTTTTTGAAACGCTGTGAACATTAACAGTTTTCATTAAGTATACAATTTACAAAAGGTTCTAAAAACATCAAAATTCACATTCAATGTCAGCAGTGTCTGAAGAATTTATAATACCTACTACAGCTATGGTTTCAATATATGTACTTAAGAATTAACACCAAAACAGAAATATTAGACCAAGTCACTTGCTATAAAATATAGATGAGATAGAAATAAATGCAAGTCCGAAAAATCAGGTGACAAATCTAATAATTCTAACAGAACAGTTTTCCGGTGGTAATGGAATGAGCTTTGGTATTGAGTAATGTAAGTCCCAAGCAATCAGAAGAGGCGTTGAAGTACCATATATAACCTGGAATAACGAAATAATAGCAGCCCAAGAACGAAGTAATACATACAAATGGAAAGAATTTAATGAAAGTAGAAAATACATTATGTGCTCCACTGCTATTCTCTTTTGGAATAATTAAATGGTCAAAAACTAATTGCCATACATATTCATTTCGAATACCGGTAACAGTTTTGACGAATTTTCAGTTACTTAGTTATTATGTAGGCATTTTTTGTTTAGCGTCCAGTGTTATTTTATAGTGTTACAATTAATATGGACAATTTTGAATAAAATCTGTTAAAATTTAAAGGTTATTGTTAAAAAATAAACAGCTAATTAGATTTACGAATTTAACTCGTTAGTAAAGAAATTTGCAATTTAATACCCTTAAATTTAGCAAGTGTTTACAGAATTGCCGCTACTATCTGTTTTAAAATTTCGACTTCTTATGATTATTTTCGTGTGAATTTTGCTCTTTCAGATTGTTTATTGTCATTGTTATCAAAACATGCATTATCATCGTAAAATACCAGATAATACCACCTTCTGATATGGAACTTTAAGTTCCAAAGAATATTTCTCTGAAAACAGGAAGGCAAAAAATGGATTAAAAAAAACATGAAAGCACAGCTTCCTAAAAATTTTATCTCTAAAATATGCAAGGTAGAAATACAGGGATGGAGATGTGAAAATTCTGTAAACACTGTTGTTTTTAGCTTGAATAGGAAAGATTAATTTATCCATTATAAAAATGACGTACATATGGCGTGAGCAGCGCATACCTATATTTTTGCAAATTGCAACATATATATTTTTCAACGGATTTTAATAGTCCGTCAAATTGATGATGAAAGTGATATATACAACACTTAGATATTTCACTTAGATATTTATTATATTATATTATTAAAATGAAAATTGAGTGAAACCAACAACCATCATTTTACGACAGTTTGAACATACTTTTTTATGTTAATGAATTATTTATTGTTTATCAACTGAAAATCAATTAAATATGTGAGTGTTGTATATCTTTGTAATCGCAATTTAAAAATACACTATTTTTTCTTCAAACGTCTCCAATTAAATTATAAAAGTAATTACAAAAATTGGAATTTTTAATTGTTGAAAATGTCTGGATCTATCACTACGGTTTCCCTGTCAAGAAGAAAATTTCAAAAAACAGTTTGCGCCTAAATATCGCTTAATTTTTTTATTATTTCCCGTTAAAAGAGACATATTTGCGACATAATTATTTAGTATGAGTGAGTAGGATTTACAATGCAAAAAGTCTGGAACAGTCTACGAAGTTGCTTATAAACGATTTTACTTCGAATTCTACGTATGTATCTTTTAAAGTTATCAAACTTCAGTGTGCTTTCGATACTTTGCTATAGTTCACTTTTTCTGACGGTTGTAACGGCAGAAAAAGGCTTTGTCTGCCGTCGTTAAGGAGCGGCTGAAATGTCAAAGTCATTTGTTGAGTTACAAAATGTCATGTTTTTTTGACGTTTGAACAATAAAAACATGTTCATTCAGAATGAACAGTTTTACTATATTTTAGCGAAATATCAGTGACCTATGCGTCTGATTGATTTTTCTTAATCGCTGATGTTTTGTTAGTTCAAAAGGTACAAGAATACCTGACGCGCTCCACAGTGATATTTATTGTTGTCGCAAGTCG